TGTTCTTTCATCGACTCGCAACCGAGTTTCACGCTAAGAAGTAGTGAGGGTCACTAAGACTCCCTCTTTCTCACTTTGAGCAAAGTGAGTGATACGTTTTCGTAGTTTTATTTGCCATGCGATCAAAAAGGGAGATTTTGGAGACAACAATATCTCATTTTGAATGCCAAATTTATACTGAAACATGGTGGTAGGACTGAATTACAGCAATTGCAACTATATCATTTAGTACACAAAAAAACCCAATTCAAAGACCAGGTAGCCGTCCCAGCACTAGCATTGGGCTACCTCAGCAATTTTAGGTAGAAAAGGAATCAAATGTTCTAATTTTATATGTGTATATCTTGGTGATGTACCTGATGAGTTGGTTTCATTTATCTTTAGTTTCTTGAGCAAATTGACATCTTCCATCAACTGCTTTCTCTTCAAGAAGCCAAGACCACTCCATTTGGACAATGGACCACCTACTTCCCCACACCCTGTTGACCATGAATCATTATTCAATACCAATTTAAAGTGAAAAAAGCCAAAATATTAACACATTCCCCTTAATATATGTTTGATTTTCACATTTTTCAATGAATAAATAATTTCATAATTAGAAACAAAGAGAACCACCTAAAGGGTAAAAGAAACAAAGAAATTACAATCAAAAGCAATCACCAGCATTGCTCAAGATGTTTTACTTTACCTGAGCTGCTTTCCCTCAGCTTTTTGTTCTTTACCAAGTCCATATCTTCAGTTTGGAGCCTTGGAATATTGCAAACATACTTTGCTAGATTTCCATGGTGATTCCCACTAGTACCATCTTGAGGGTCGACTGCTCCTGAAATTCACACTTACTCCTCTTCAAAAGAATGAAAACACACAGTCAACAAGCTATTCCACCACAAAATCCAAAACGTAATTTCCCTTTATTTTTCCAACACTTTCCCAGCAACCAAACAGAAGTCAAAACACCCACTTCACCCAAAATAAGGCCTAACCAAATTATTTAGCAAAACCCCTCCAACGAGAACCCCGTAAAGTTAGAAACTTACTTTTCGTCCCAACTTTGCAGAGCTTCCCATCAACGATTAGGGCGTCCCTGTTGTTACTTCCAGTAGACAAGCCCTTAGCAGAGAAGAAAGAAAGCAATGATCTCCACGTAACAGAGGCCGATACAAGATCGACTCCTCTGCTTATAAAGTGGCCGTTCAACTTCACCGTCGATGGCTCCAGACCAAAACTCCGAGCTATCGAACCCAAGTCCAGTTTCTGCTCCTCCCATGCCACGAACTGGATCAGCTTCGATACCGAAGGACAGAACAGCTTGATCGTTCTTGGTTTGCCGTTCCCTGACATCTACTCCTTTTTCCCCAGTCCCCACTACTTCTTTACCACCGTGTGATGATATTAATGAATGATGAGTTATGAGTCATCTCTGCAGAGCTCTGTTAAGTTTTATTTTAGTTTGCTTCCAACGGTTTCTGGAAGTGTCTCCGTGGATTCATATATATATATATATTT